CATTATTATTCATAGATATTGAAGTTATGAAAGTTAAATATTAAAGTTATGAAAGTTAAATCTGACACAGTAAAGTGTGCAAAATTTGGTAGCTGCTACAAATGATAACACGCCATATTATAGCACAGTGTAATATGCCAAAATAACACACTCATTATAGTGTGTCAAAGAAACACATGTGTAATGTGCTGAAATCTAGGACATTCATTAAGCACAATAAGTAGTGTTAATACAACACATCACTTCTATGTGTGTACCCGTTATTGGCAGTGCTAGCTAAAGAAATTCTATCTGTACCATCTTCATCTTCTCCAGTTGAGAGACTTTTTAGCATTGCTGGAAAGATATTTAGACCAGAAAGATGTAACTTACGTGACAACAAATTTCAACAATTAATGTTTATTCGTTACAACAACACACAACACATATAAATTTCTTCAATCAAATAGTACTTAACAATTCATTTTACTGTAATTTTTATAGTACTTCACCTGTACTTAAGTACTTTTTATTGTACTTGAAATGTACTTAAGTACTTTTGCTAAAAAGCGTATGTACTTGTATTTGTACTTAAGTACCACTGCAAAGTACTTGTACTTTACTTAAGTACTTCTAAATGTACTTCACCCCATCCCTGAGTTTGATGTATTGTATACAGTAATAATGTAATACTGAATATGAAGTGTTATTTCACCATATACTGTAATAGCATCATTTGATATCTGATCCCAACTAATATTAACAACTTGAGCTGGTACTATAAGAAATACAATGAGTGTGTGTGTGTGTGTGTATAGTACTTACCATTCCATTATACTGTATTAATGATGAAGGAGCTGGTCCTTCTCTTCCAATAGTATCAACTTCAAGATCATCAATAGTTATATATTAGGATTGTTCCCAGTAAAATTGTATTGAGTAGATGAACCATTAATATTGCTGTCGTTAACTAGAACTGTATAATAGTTTATACATTGTTGGTTCTGTTGATTATAAAAATTACAAAAGAATATACACTATATACCCATGACATTATAATGAAAGACAGAGAGAGAGAATACAAGATAGAGTTAATTGTTTCATAATACATTATACTAAAGTATGTCCATTCTATACTACTGGAGACAGGGAGGATTGATGTCTTTGTGTTGGTTTCAAGGTTTTGGTTTTGGTGGTATTGGAGGAGGAATATCCAGACCACCTAACCTATCCATGATCAGCTCTACTCTATCCATGATCAGCTCTTGAGTAGTGAACTTCCTCTGGAGGAGAGGGGGAGAGAGAGGGAGGGAGAAAGATAAAGGGTGTGTTACTCCATACAGTATTAGCTTACATTTCCATTGACTGCTGCATGGACTACTCTTTCCTCAGTGGGTGGTTTATTCTTTGGTGTTCTCTTACCAGCTGCTATTGATAGATCAGCATACAATACTTTATGAGGAGCAGCTGGAGGAGGAATGGGAGGGGGAACAGACTAGGAGGAGAGAGGGAGAGGATGCATAAGATATCATTACATGTACATGTACATTATCATTACTTTGTTGTTAACTGATGCATATACCACTGGTTGTTCTTGTGTTGGTGCTGCCTGTGATCTCTTCCCTTTAGCAGCAATAGCCAGATCAGCATACACTAGCTGGCTTATGAGCTGATTCATCAACTAACACCTATTGAATATAACAACATGAACCTTAATTACTAATGTACATACCTTATATACTAATATACCTTATACTAATGTACATACCTATACTAATGCATTTACATGTACTTATGGTATGTGTGTATTAGTTACTATAAGGTGGTATATCAGATTACATAAGGATAAGTTCACCTTATTATGTGAAAAGCTAAAAGGATATACTCAATTCACCCATTACCCTCTTCCCTTCCTTTTTATGATACAATACATAATGTACATGTAGTTCATTAAACCCAATACATTATGTACATGTAGTTCATTAAACCCAATACATTATGTACATGTAGTTCATTAAACCCAATACATTATGTACATGTAGTTCATTAAACCCAATACATTATGTCAAGAGTGGATTATGTACACTGCAAAAAAAGTGTCTTACTTTGAACGTTGAATGTTAAATTTAATGATTATTAATTTCTTTAAAATAACTTTTATCGGTTAGAAGCGAACAGTAATGGTTAGTTTAAACTGAAAAGGTTATTATAGGACAAAATATTTGTTTTAAAATATATATTATGTTATTATGGAACAAAAAATGTTTAAATTAACAAAAAATTATTACAATTTTTATCAAGTTAACACACAATAAGGCAATGAAACATACAAACTGTTATTTGATTGAGAAAATGAAGTGTGTGGTAGCAAAGACTCTGGTATTACAATATCATTGAAGTTAATATAACAGGAACTGTTAGTATAATTAACACTGTATGACATATAGTGCTCATCAAAGTAGATGGCATTGTATACATCAACGTGGAGAATGATTGTGTCTTGCAACACTATAATATCGAGAATTTTGCCAAATTGAGGCTCAAAATCATCAAAACGAGTAAGTACAAACATTCCAATCTTGTATATATTGCTTTGTAAACGAAACCACTTGTAGCGTGCAATGATTGTGCTTTCAATATGAGTTATGGTGCATGTACATGTACGTCTAAAAGCATTTTGAATGTCAGTTGATTCAAAAGCTAGAATAGTTTCAACTTTCTTTCCAAACTCAAAATCTATACTAACAACACTATTACAGCTCTCTAACTTATAGCATAACCACAATTGGTGTGCCTTTGCTACAGTCTTGGGAACATTCTTAAAGTTGCTTCGTTGAGAACAACGCTTAATAAAACTTAACTTTGCCTCACACCTCATTGTCCATGTATTAATAAGAGGACCAAACCTTCTAAGTTGAGAAGCATAGTGCACCATGTAGTGCATCTTTGGAATGATAGTTGCTGATGGGTAGAGATCCTTAAAACAAGTAATTTTCTCTTCCACAAGAATTTCTAAATATGATATTAAATCATGACTGATTACAGGACACAAAACAATAGCAGAAATCTTAGTAAGTATCAAAAGAGAGTGATAATATTCATCATTATAGGGAATAGTGTCACCTATAAGTAAAGGTATCTCTTGCAACAGTGACAACATTTGAGATGCTGACTGGCGTATCTTAAATTCATTAGCATGCTGTGTTGTATCAATCAAAGTGGGTCTTGAACCATTAAAATCATAGTGTTGAATACGCTTATTTAGCTCATCAATTGTAAAGTAGCCATGACTAGTACAATAGGTTAAGAACAGACTTAACTCCTTCTTTGCAACACCCTCATAAATATCATGCATTATATCATGTGGCAAATTTGTAACTACAGAAAATCCTGGTACATCTTCAAGTATTGATCTTCTGTTAATACCATAAAGTGTTGAATAATGAGAATATAGAGGCCCGTCAAGTGAAAGACACTGATACTCATGAGCCTCAGGGGTTCGTAATGTACACTGATGCTCAGATAAACATTCACCTGAGCTTTCATTTGTAATCATACATGATCTACATATCCGCAGTGCAAATGATATACCCTCTTTAAAACCTCCAATTAAATGTGATGCTAAGTTATCCCCTAAAAATGCTAGCAGTGCACCCTTAAATACAGCTCCATCAGAAGTAGTAACACCATCAAGATAAAGAGTTTTTAAATCATTAACAAATGGGGATAAAAAATTATCAATACCATAGTGATTAATATCTTCAGATTTGGCAACAGAAACAAGATATGATGATAAATATGTAGAACGAAAACGAGGTCTAATATTTGCTAAAAAGAAAAAAACACAGCCTAGTTTATGTTTTGAAATGTAAGAGCCTAAAGGATTTGTAACTTCCAGTTCATCAAAATATGCAACAATCTGCAATGCTTGTTTATCAGTACTAAAAAGAGGGTGTGTGGCAAACACAACACCATCGCAAAAATCATGAAGGTGATGACTATCTGATCGAGGGCTAACAATTTCATTCAATAAACTAGCATTAGACAATATAGACCTTAAAGTTTCAAGTAGTGGGATGTAGTAAAAGTTGTCAGTTCTTTGAACAAGACGTCTTTTTGCTCCAGTGAACTGGCTTGAATAAAAAGGGCTTCCAAATGATAATTCCTGAGGTTCCTAATAATTATATGAATGTTATTGTGATACATTCCCAGATTCACTTACCACATAAGTAAAATTTTCCATGTAGTATTTATCCTGTAAATACTTAGTTTCTAGTCCAGCAAAAACATTTGGTATGGCACCGTCGCTGATGTGACATACTTGTGATGCAATATCTTGAGTAGTTAAGCCTTGCATTCGTGTAGATATTAGTGATGAGACGGAAGCAACAATATACTTTGAATAATTTTGGAAACCTTCAATAATATCACTTATAGCTGACTGAGAAAGGTGGTGCTGCTGAGAGAGATGTAATATAAATTTTGCTGACAGTTTTTGAATATCATCACACGTAGCATCAGGTGGAATATTTGTAGCAGTGGAGACGATTGAAGCAGTAGATTGTTCAAGAGTATCACTTTCTTCTTGATTAGCTTCAGTTTCAGCGACAGCAAACAGTTCCCTCTCTGACATTAAAAGCTCTGGTCCAGGAGGCATTATACTTGTTAAATTTGCTGTCAATTCCAATGCATCTCGATGATGCCGATATACATGAGAGTTGAAACCAGCAAATGATTCAAAGGAAGTGACACAACCGTTGATGCCACAAATGAGATTAATATTATTGTCCCTAAAATGAACAAGTCTCACGTGGCTGACATAAGCACGGACAGAAGGAAAAGAGAGCTCACAAAGTGGACAAGAAATCAGGTGAATCAACTTAGCCATTTTTATAAATGGGTGTGGTTCATTTATGAACTACACCCATGGCCTTGCCCAGTTTTGTCACGTGATTGCAAGTGCATGTGCTTGCTGTGTCTTTCTAATCCGCTCTCTTCTTTCTTTATTATTTTCAGTCAAAATGGACCAGGAAGCGCTAGAAAAATTGTCACCTTCGGCTCTTTCGGAGTTTTTGAACACAGATGTGGGAATACCATTGAGTATTTGTCAAGCCTTTGAGGGTGAGTTGCCATCAGTCGTCATTTTTGCCATTTTCACTTAAAAAATTAATTACTAACTTTCAGAGGAACTGGTTGATGGTCCAGCTTTGTTAGATTTGACAGAAGAAGATGTAAAAGGAATTTGTAAAAAGATTGGTCCAACAAAGAAAATTTGTAGATTTATTAATCAGGTTAGTGTTATGATCACTTTATCGAGTACTAAGTACACATTTTTATAGGTTTTAGGAGACAAAAGTGAGGTAATTTCAACTGATGTGTCATCTGTGCGCCCTTCATCGTCTCAACTTAATCCCAGTATGTTCTCACCGCCGATTGCACATTCGCCCTCACTATCAGATCTACCATCATCACCAGTTTCACATAAATTGAAATTGAAAAGTTTTTCATCGTCACTATCTCACAACGATCCTTCGTCACCAATTTCTTTTATTTCATCTCCATCACCACTGACATGTACTGATTCTGATGAATGCAGTAGTTCGATTTCATCGTTGCATGTATCTTCAAAGTTTTTTATTCCTGACACTTGGAGACCATCAATCATGGAATGCATCAATGCTCCATCTGAGACTGAAGCACGGAGGCTACTAACCCCAAAGATTCGATCTGAAATTGTCCGTGATTTAGTAACACAAATGTACACAGTCTGGCCAAACCCTAAAAGTGCTGAAAGTACTGTCGTGGCTCGTAAATTGGTTTCAAAATATGTCTTTATGAAAGACAAGGGACAAGCTGTATCAGGATATGTAAGATTACAATGATTACTAAACTCCTATTATGTAAATTTTAACTTTGATAGGGATCATGGGAGCGAAAAATTATTGACAGAATACATAATGTTAGTGTTAGTGTTAAGCGCAAAGAAACGAATGAGTCTTCAGATGCTCCAGTGTCCAAGAGAGGACGACCGAAATCAACTACTTTAGCAAGTCGCTATCCTCCTCTGCAGCACGATTTTAGTGATGATACTAGCTTTAATCGTAACATAGACAAGATCAAATCAGAAATGTGTATGAGCAACCCTAGGAAGCAAGTTCTTCTAAAGTTAATGGAGGATACATATGCACGTAGGCGTGAGATGGTTCTGGGCAAACAAGGAGTCGTATCAGTTTCTCACGTACTTGAATTATTTCCATGTTTAAAGATGTATTCTATTGTAAGTTTTTAATTTTTATTATTTTTTAATCTTCATTTCTTCCTTGGCATGTATAGCTTAATCAAGAAGTATCTTTAGTTCTGGATAAAGATGTATTGACGCCTGGTCTAGAAAGTTGGAAGTCAACTTGGGTTTCTGCTATCATTGATTACTCTGAGTCACTCAAATCTAAAGCTATGGTTCAAGCAAGACAACAATACAAGGAAGCATATGAGGGTATATATTAATGACCATGCAGATGCAATAAATTTATATTATACGCATAGATGATGAAGAATGCAATGAAAAGCTAGCTCTGTCTATGCTTGTGCAAATGCTTGGAAAGAAGACTTTGTCTAACATATACAAACAATATGAGGTATTTTGAATTTAGTATTATTACTTAAATTATTATTATTATATTATAGTTAATGGATAATCCTGAGGAAGTTGCTCAAAAAAGCATATCACCATATCCCATGATTGGCTACTTCACTAATGGAGTAGGGGAACCTTCTTACTTTGTCTTTGTTGAGGGTCAAATTCTTATAAAGCTCAATTTGTTTGCTAAGGCACTTGGGATATGGCTATTTTCTCACTACATCTTCAATTTGGAATATTTCAAAGATATTAAAGATTGTGCCTTGTTTCTCCAAGAATTCGTATTTTCATTGCCATCAGGCCAGAGAAAAACCTCTTCATATCTTAGTGTAACCACTTCTATCAAAAGTTATGCAGACTCTTCTTTGTAAATTATATTGTCTAGTAATTGTGACACTCATTATTCTCTTATATTAATCACTACATGATTTTTGTTATTACTATTGACTTGTCTGATTATGAACATTATTAATTGTTTAATACAATCAATTAAAAATTGTTTAAAATAAACAGTAAAATAAAATGGTGGTTTTAAAATTTTNCCGTGGTTGTCTCAGTTTCAATAGTTTTGAACATTTTTAAAAGGTTAAAGTAAGAAACTTTTTTTGCAGTGTAC